TGGCGGGAGGGAACTGGTGGACTATAAGGAGGGAGAGGGGATAAGAGATTCTGGTACGGATTGGTTCTTTGATTATGGGCTTGATTATTTGTTCTACGGGCCTAAAAGAGCAATTCTAATGTAAGAAAAAAAATATGAAAAAAAAAAACTCCGTTGCCGGCATTTGAACCCGGGTGGCCGGGGTGAAAGCCAGATATCCTATCCGGGCTCGACGACAACGGATCAGTGACAGCGAGGGACCATTCAAACTAACATTCGGTTGACAGTTGCTACTTTTACTAGAGTGATCAAAATAAATAGAGTTTCCAATTAACAGGGCCTAGCCGAGTTGTTAAGCTATCTATGGGTGGTACTCGGTCTCAGGCTCTACTCTCGAGATTACCCACAATAATTAGAAAAGTAGAGCTTCTTGCTTTTTTTTTTGTTCTTGGAAGAAAGAACCTGTGTACTTCACTGCAGTCATAACCGCTCTACAAGATTTTGGTACATAACATGGGGTCAATGTGGATTAAATGTTTTGACATAATAAATGGGTCAATGAGAACCCTTGAAGATCGATAACTTTCTATCTTTCAAGCAGTTAAGACAATTGCTCAATTAGTTTGCAGTTCCGATTTTCTACAAATCTTGACACTTTTATAACACACCTCTAGTCCTGAGTGCTTGGAAATTTCGGGCTTCTTGCTAATCGCACGTGCTCTGCAAGAACAGGGTTTGCCTCCACGGTGGACAAGTTCCGAGGCATCGATAAGCCAACCGAAGCGATTATTTCTGCAAGATAGCAGTTAAAAAAATGGAGAGAGGCAATACAGAGAATGCATAGAGCTTAAATCAGATATCAACTTCCGGTGAATTTGGCTTCATAAATACTCAAAGTAGTGGTTCGTGTGTGAATTTGAGCCTGAACCCAGATAGCCTAAGCTATTATGAAACAAGCCGAGGTGTTCATAAACCGTAGCTGGACTTACCAACGGCTTCTCGGACAGATATGTTTGGCCTAATGATGTCTTTTGAGCTCAGGAGAAATATGTCTCCAAGATAGAGGTGATTAGTGGGCACATAAACACCAGTGAGCTCCTCGTCGCCTGAATTTGTCCGAAGATTGACTGTAGATGTAATGAAGCCAATAGCATATTCACCAACCCGGGGGTGCCTCAGTATAGCCACTTCCTTGAAAGCCCGAGAAGTTTGATCTGCATAGTGGAGAATATAAGCAAATATTTAAGCCTCGTCAAGTGATTCGACAAGAGAATAGAATGCAATGTGATGATACAGGATACCTGGAGAAACTGCTGCACTTATTTGCTTTGAGGCAGAGTAGATATAGCTCACTAGAGGCATTTTCTTGATGAACCATTCACCAAGATCAAGAACAGAAGCACCCAACCACGATGACATAAATACTCCCACTAAGAAGATGAAGGTAATTGAAGTGACAAATCCCAGGCCTGAGAACAGAAGTTAGTTATTTGGAAACTGAGGATACAAAGAAACATAACAATAATTATCTACTCCTCTTTGAACTACAACATCAATTGGTTTTGTCATAAGCTTATCTGAGATTCAAAATAAGCCTGCTATAGGCCCTGTAAACCATAGAATTGGCAAAGTGATTTCTCTTTGAGTGAGCAGTGCACACAGAGGATTTAACCGATTGAGCGTTTACTGTTCATTCACAGACGGATTTTGTTAGTGTTAACCAAAATGTATTGAAATTATACGGTCACAGTGAGTAAGCACTGAAATACCAAGTGTTCAAGATTGTAGCATACCAATATCGATGAACATGACATTTTGAGGTAGCAGCTTCATGCCAATCCTCTCATGTTAAATTGTATTAGAAAAGTGCTCCTGTACTTATGATTATCGATTTCGATGAAGCGACCACAGAGGCAACAGCTTTTCTGTTAACGGCTCATATTTGTTTTTCAATAAGCTTCTGGTTCATGATATTACAGCTTGACATAGTTAATGATAGGAGACGAGGAAAATTAGGTAGCTTTAGGATTTTTAGCCATGCTCAGCAGCCTAGAATAAGTACCTTGATATTATAGATTGAGGTACAACTCAGAAAAAAGGTCAAACTTCAAAATATTCAAAACTTGCTGGTTTTGGCAGAGCTAATGTAAATCAAAATCTCTGAGAGCATTTCAGAAGCTCCATAATTAAAAAAGCTTTTCTATCCAGTTTACAAGGACGATTTTCCTTACCGAATATATCCAATCCAAGATGACTGTAGATAGGTGAAAAGAATCCATCCACGAAACGAATAAACCACCAAGTCACATAAAATGTTGTGGCTATCGGAGACAGAATTACACTGCAAAAAAGAAATCAAACCAAATGTTATTTGCACCAGATTACCAAAACAAATAATATCTTCTTGGGTTAATGTTAGGAAAATGCAACTATGGAAGCTTTTTAAGCATAGAAACGACGCGAATATTGTATGAAAAGAAGCCAGCAACCTAGATAAAGGTAGCTGAAGCAGTAGAAATTTGCGTGATATGCCGTTTGCCAATAAATATTATGCCTGAGCTGAAGTCTAATTTGGCTTGTAGGGCAGCTGTTTATTTTGTTTTGCTATACATCTGACTATTTGCTAAATTTATATCTATACTTTCTGAAATTGGATCAAACGACCTCTACTTCAAACAGAGTTTAAAAAAAAATAACTACAATATCAATCGTTCTTCCCTCTCCCTATAGTAAAATAAAACGAATCCGAGCTCTGACGAGGCAGCTGTCTGACGGGATTGAGACCTCGGCTAGGAGATGCACCCTCTTATGTAAAATAGCGGATGATGCTAAATAGTAAATAAGCATATGAATACATGCATATCGATTACGACGAAAGAGAGCATTGCAAATGAGTCTAGCTTACATCAACTGGTTTAGTAGAGTTTGATGAAGAGAGCGCTTACCATCCTGTCATAAACTTTTTCGTGGCCCAGTTACGGATGACTTTGGAGCAGGCCTGCACAATTGCAAAATGAGGTCGTGAGTTTCTCGTCCACAGTAAAGAGATGCACGATTTCGAGATATAGCAGGACACAATAGAATCCTCACGTGATCAAAGGAGCAATCACATGCCCCAACTGTGTATGAAACCTTACATGTCAAAAATATAAGATCCTATGCAACTTTAAATCATAGCATTCCTGTTCATTTGAATTTGTCACTGATTTAGAGGGGCTAACTTCAGGGCCCAAAAACAAATCATAACATTCTCCCAATTCTTTTTCGGAACCTTGCACAGTTGCACTCCATAACAGGCTGCATTAATTTAGAAGGGAAATGATTTGGACGAGGAGCATTTATCTAAGAAATCAAGCGTACGTAATGAAAATTTCATTAAAATTGCATGATTCCTTCGCGTGCACATGAGAGAGATCTTGCTATTTGCATACGATAAATGTAGCAAAAAGAAAAGAAAAAGCTAAAATGCAGAGCATATAAAGGCAAAATACCAAAGGATCAAGTCCCCAGAATTTTGACTTCATCGTTGGATCAATAACAAAGATTTCAAGATCTCCGACACGAAGAAAACCAGGAGGAAAACAGAACGGAAACAATTACCTCGACGCTGGAGCTTGGATGGTGGTGGTGGTGGATGGAACAAGGCGGGGGGCAGGCGACGGACGGCGAGGATGATTCCACGTCATCTGGGTCCGGGTCCTCGCCGACGGGGATGAGGAGCTCGCGGTCTCTGTCCCTTTCTCTGTCTCTCGTCGTCGCCATCGTTTGGACGGTGATCGTGGGCTTCTCCGTTTCGTTATTTCGCGGGTTAATCCCGCCAAAACCTGCCTCGTTACTAAAAGCACGGGCGAGTAACGGAAATGTCGGAAATGTACGTAACCGTGAGGTTCGTCGCCTCCGAAGTGTTTAGGTGGCGAGCAAAGCCCAAGACCTTTTGGTTTGAACGCGCGCTGCAAGTCAAAACATTTTGGCTTATTTTCACTTTGGTACCCCCAAAGTTTATATGTTTTTCATTTTGATACTCCAATGTATACTTTTAACGGTGCTCCAAAGTTTCTATCATATTTTACTTTGATACCCCGTTCAGATGTTACTAGATTCCTTCTTAATTTTTGTTGCATGCTTCAACACAATACCTTTATCCACCGTTTTTTTAGATGCCTAACATACCCCAATTTTAATCACTTTAGGTCATCAAAATCGAACCTCTTCAACTTATTATTTATTTATTTATTTATTTATTTTTGGGGGGTTGTTTGGGGTGGGGTGGGGGTGAGTGGTTTTGGGTTGGGGGTGTTGGTAGTGGAGAGCTTGGGACATGAGAGAATGGTGTAAACTTCAGAGTAATTTTAAGTGCAAATATATTTTTATTTATCTGTTTATTACTTTTTTCATTTCTCGTATTTTTTTCATTTGCGTAGCCAAGTAATGTAAAATGGGCATGCGAAAATAAATTTGCTTTGATGTTTAAATTACCACAAAATGGAGAACATAGCTGGATAGATACATGCCTAAAGTTACAATGCATAGCTATTTACAACACCCTGAAGTTCAGAGGGCTTGGGAGAAATGCTTTGGGGTTTAGCGCAATAAACAAAGTTCATGAAGGTTTCTAAGAAACGGTCCCGAAGTGCAGGGGGCTTCGTAAAATTACCGAAATAAGAGAACAGGAGAGGCTCGGCCCGGCCCATCCACTCAGCTCTCGGTCGCCTCGGGGTTCATGAATTCAGCAGAGACGATAAAGGCATCATTCGTTGAGGAATAAACTCAAACGGGATCCCGCCTCCATCAACTCCACTCTCTCCTCAGGTTTAACCAAACTCTGACTCTTTTCATCGACATCGTTTAATCTACTCTCTTCTTCATGATTCGATTCCTCTCTCGATTTTTTTTTCTGCAGGTATTCAAGAACTTGTGATGAGATAATCTCCGCCATGGCGAGCTGTTTCTCTTCACAGCATCTCATCCACTCTGTCAGAAGGAATTTCTGTGGCGTGGGAGAGAAGTTTATCGCAAGCCCTAGGGTTAGAACCAAGCTGTGGTCTTCTAGCCGTTTTTGCTCAGCGAGCAATCTTAAGGTTTTTTTTACACTTTGATCCAGAATTTTCCCCTTTTTGCTAATAGAGTAACCTTGAGTGCTTAAACAATGGATTTTGAGATCGACATTAACTAGCCAATGAGGCGTGTGTATATCGAGAAGAGTAGTATTGCTGAGTGTTGAGAAAGTTCATAATTCAATTGTTTTCTTTTTCAAATTGAGCACGATTTGAGTGACCAATATTTAAGTGAATGGAAAGTGGAGGATATGCAATAGTTACCCTCAACAAATTGATTATAACATCTCGATCAGAGGTTCAATCTAGGATATTTAGTCTTTGTACGTGTTAATTCAACTGAATCAGCTCCAGTTTATGGTGCCACACATGCATAACAATAGCTAATGTTAGAGGTTGTGCATATTTGAAATGTGGTGAGGCCTAACTGTGTAACATTTAAGATATAATGTTCTTCGAGCTGAGAACGCTATTACAACGATTCATTTTATTCGTTGCACTACTTGTTGAGTTGCTTCAGATTGATATGTATTGTGACATTATTGAGCCCAAACGAATAGACATTGTGCAGTGTGATTTTATTCTGGCACAGTTCACAAACTCTAGATTCTGAAGGATAATGGTAGCTGACTATTTTTTTGATGCTCATATTCATGTTTTTATGTTTAACCGGAGATCACATGGATGTTTTGCCTATCAGGAACACTCCGAGCTGTCTGTCTGTTCAGAGTCAGTTTCATCAGATAGTACTTGTGTAGCGGCCCCACAGAGAAACTTAAGAGTATCTTCTGACATTGGAAAAGCATCAACCACATGCAGCCCTATGGATTCGTTGAATGTTAAAAGTGACATTGCTGCTGATTCAATGAATAATCGAGTGATGCTCATTGATGGGACATCAATAATCTATAGGTCTTATTACAAACTTCTCGGTATGACAACAAACTCAGCGGCTGGTTTGTCTATCCAAGTTTCAGCTTTGTTTTATTATATTTCTAAAGTTATGTTATAGAGACACAATTTATGGATGTCAATGCAGTTATATGCACATGAATTGTTTTCTTCATCCTTCACATGCTATAGTGACCACATATTTTAACGTGATGATTATAACCTATCTTCTTCATACTACCAAAATCACTCTTCAAATCTGCCAAGAGAAAGAAACAACCTTGACAAGGAGATAAGGTGGTGAGGTTTACTATGGTGGTTTTCATTCATCTCTGAGGAATTAAAAAAGACAAGGATCTGTATGGAACCACAACCTCTATGGATTAACTTACCTAATAGAGCAGTCTTTAACTGTTATTCTTAACTTGATGCTAAAATCCAGATTTAATTTGCATTAGCTTCAAGTTATCTGAAAATGCTCATGTTAGACTCCGATATGAGTTTATTGAGGTATATTTTTTACCCTTCGTTGCTATGCTTATCATGACCAAAAACTTGAGCAGATGTGTTTTTCATTATCCACTTTGCTAGCTGATGCATTTAAATTGTTTAGAGTTGTCGTCTATTGTTAAATAGAGACAAGGGCTCTTGCCATATTGTTGTGATTCTTGTGAACAATCTGTGCCCATTCTTATAATTGTTTGACATGGAAGTAAGCTTCTTCCATTGCTTTTATCCCATAGGATTTGGAAGCTTATTGGAGGTTTTTATTATTATTATAAGGATGTGCTTCACTTAAGAATCTCATTGGACCTATCAGGTGGCCACTTTACATATTTTTAGGGCAAACAGAGAACACTGTTAATTAGTGTGTTGTTGTCATGTTTATGATTTATCAGTCAATTTCTCCTGTATATTTATGGTAAACACTATCCTTGGCTCACTTTACAATCTATCCATCTCTAAGCGCTTGTTTCCTAACAATTGCTATATTCTGTTTGGTATTAGCAAAGTTGCATCATGGTCACTTGGAACATGCTGATGGGAATGGAGATTGGGTTTTAACTATATTCACAGCCCTATCTTTTGTAAGCCAATTTTAACTATATTCGTAGCCCTATCTTCTGTAATGCTGTAATTTATAGTTCCTGAATTTTAATATGCATGCTAATTAAGTGTGAAGGATGTTTCTAATTCCAGCTTCTTTATCTATTTTCTTGATGCGCTCTATGTTGATGGATTTTCTTTTTTGGGATTAATTATGTGATTTTTCATCACTATCACTAAAGGAGTTCTTAACTATCTGTAACTAATTAAATACTTATTATTTAAGCTAGCTACCAAAGCATATTTTCCCAACTTTAGAATCTCCAGACAAGATCAAGTGCTTAGCAGAAATTCTTGCAAGACGATATTACCTAATAAATTTTAGCATTTTTTTTTTGGGGGGGGGGAGGGGAGGGGTTCACCTAGGTCCGCTTGTGTATTGTTTATCTTTAAGAATCAATACAACAAATCACCTTTTCTCGAAAAAAAGAAAAAGAAAAAAGAAAAAAGAGAGAAGAAAAAAAAAGAATTACCTTGAGGGGATAAAAGAAAAGTAAAATAAAGCATATCCTTGAATCTATCTCCACCTGCTTTAAGATAAAACCTTCAATTCCTCTTAAGTAGTAATTAGGCAAATTGCTACATATAGGATACTGCTGTACTATAAAAAAGTATTGCTCTAATTATCCTCTGTAACCAAGAACCATATATGTTCAGTTTGCATTTCCTGATCAGTAATCATTGGCAGATTGTTTTTGTTCTTTTATGGCCTTACTTTAAGACAATAATGATGTTCTTGGCTTTTATCCTGTTATACAACATGTCTAATATCTTTATGCCATAAAGGTGAGACTATTTAAGTTAATAATCCCTGTCAAATATCAAATGTTAAATATGAGAAACTCGAAGAACTTCTATTACATCTTTCACAATATCAAATCTGTTTTGTTTGAAAATCTACTGTTGCTCAATTGCCCTTAAGAATCTGTGAATGATTCTTTTCTGGTCATGATTAGGGTGTTTGTCCATGACCAATACTTCACCTTAATCCCAACAAACTTCAGTTCTGATTATGCTCGGGCTTAGGGCTCAAATGAATATCTAAATGCAATTTGTTTTATTAGCTGCTGGACTGAATGTGTAGCAAGTTACAAAATTTTATAGGAATTAGCACTTTAGTTTCTGGTTTTGATAATTGGACAGAGAAGTCCTTTTAAACCATCTGAGAATCTTTAGACAGGGCTAACAGTATAAGGTTCAATCCATTTTACCGTGTGATTTTGGATCATAGTAGTGTAAACAAAAACAAAGGATTTCTAAATCTTGGTCAGTTAAATGACCATTTTTCTTATCTACTAACTGCATCAACTACTCCTACCCCACAATAAATGAATGTGGTTTCAATTTGGGAATAAAGCACATGCTGGTGAAATGCCAAAACGTGGGGCTATTCTTGTGTTTTTAGTTTGGGGTAGTAGTGGTGGTTTTGCAATTTTGTTATGTAAAAAAATTAGTGACAATGAGACATGTAACACACTGAAATTGGGGAAAGAAACTCTACTATGATTAATATTCTTTAGATGCTGTTTCATGATGGAGCTTACTTTAATTTTTTAAAATTGGTAAAATTGGGTGCCATCACAGGCCTTGACTGCGAAATGGGCTTCAGGAATATCTGTTAGGCAGCTTTGGGAGTTTATCATTGACTAGTAGTGATAGTTATAATTATCTTCTGGTATCCTTTTTCAATAGTGATGTAAACAGCTTCCTTCTGATTTTGAATCCACATCCCACAACTTGATCAATATCTACTCATGCTACCTGGAATCACCTTCCGAGAATGCTGGACATATCCTGTCTTTTGGGCAAACCATAAGCGAAATAGGAACATTGTAACATAATCCTAATCATGGGCTATTATTTTCTCTTTCAGGATGCCTTTTAATGAAACCTCAGTAACTTGCATCTAATGCTGCTTATTTGTACCTATAGGAGTAACATACCTTAATATGCTCTTGCCTTACTTTTCCTGCAGCTGCTGGATATGTTGGAATTTGTTCCATCTCATGTTGCGGTATGTAGATATAGCTTTTATCATCTGTTTGTTACACCATGTACTAGCTGAAAATGGTTATGCTTTCATGTATGAATTTCAGGGTTTCCTCTACTGATGATTATTGTATTTACTTATTTTTCCTTTATTATGAGGACCATATATATAGATAATATTTTGTAGCTTAAGCAAACTAAAACGAAAGCCAAAACTTTATAATAGATGCAGAGCATGCTGCACATGTTCCTTATCTAAAGTTAACATCTACATCTTGGGCAACTATTGTAGTTATTGCCAAGGTTTTAAATATCGGATGTCGGGTTCATGTCGGATGACTGAAATCCATGTCGGATAGCGAAAATCGGGGATATATCGGGGGACATTGACTAAATATCGGATTGTTATATCGGGTAGTGCGCATATGTATAATATCATGTCCTAAATGTAATCTAAGCATTCATAAATTTAATATAAGCATACTTTATAAATTCTATATACTAAACATATAAAAAAGTAAATAATATATGGATTTGGGTTCATAAATTCTTTCTATCGGGTTCATAAGAAACCCTTAAACATGAGAACGGATCAAACGGGTTTGGGTATTTATCACTACACCCAAACCTGATAACAAAAAACAGATCTTAAAAAAAAGTACCATATCGGTCGATTTGTCAAAGCTAAAAAATAGGCTGATATACCCGATATGACCCTGGTATTTCCGATTTGGCCCTGAAAACTGACATACGAGTTGAAAACGTCCATGTCGTGCGGTCAAACTCTCAAACCGATATGTCGGTCGGCATGTCGGACATGTCGGGCGACATTTAAAACCTTGGTTATTGTTGTTCTTAGAATTTTTTAATTTAGCTAATATTCTCTGCACAGTCTGGCTGTTTAGAAAAGAAAAGACTTTATGAATTCATTATATACTAAATGACTTTGATTACTTAAAAAGTATACTAGTTCTTTAAGACAAATTTGAGTTTATTTATCTACCCTAGAGTTTGACATGGTTCATCCTTCTTAAAGTCATCATTACACTAAAACTCCAAATTTGTGGTGAGGGTTATAATTTTGTACACTGACATGTCCCCACAGGTTGAGCACCCTTTTTATGGGCGGAAATCTGAACTCACACAACAAAATCAATTTTTTTGAAAAATCCACTCTAAATTCATAGCAGGCAGGAATTGATCTGGCTTGCACTGATACCATCTTAAAGGCCCTACCATTGCACCAAACCTCCGATGTTGGGTGAGGGCTGACGATTATAATTTTATATTCTAACAATCCTAAAGAGAGATATAACATATAAGAAATTAGTACAATAATTGATTCTAGTATTTATCCATAAAAGGGAACTTTTATTAGAAGGAAAATTGTATACTTTTACAGAAATAGTCGTGTATTGTTCTCATCTTTCATAAGTTTCAATAGTAACCCTCCTAAAATTCATTTCTGGCTTAGCATATTCTAAACTGTAACTTTTATGTGTTGTATAGATAAATTCTTCACCTTTGGGCTTGGATATCCAAGATATTTATTTTTAGATAAAAATTTACCTTCATCTCTTAAATTAATCTTCATAGTGACGTTATACATTATAACAATAACAACAACAACAACAAAGCCTTTAACCCAAGTTTGCAACTATCCGTATATTCTTTATTATTCTTTGCATGTTGAGAGTTGTTTATACGCTTAAAATTGTTCCCAATGATGCTTGTAACGCGTTGAGCCTCCTGGACAAGTAATGAGCCAACTAGAAAAGGAAAAACAAGAAAGAAGAAAGAAGAGGGAAAACTGTTTTCCCTCCTCCTCATATCACCAATTCTGAATATTGATGATATTGTCACCTTCTCCCGTCATTGTGTTCCCCTTATAGACATGAAAAGGCAACTGACAAAACCTTGCAAGCAAGATAGGATGTTAGTTCAAGTTAACATACGCGCTTCCGCTCCAATAATGATGTGAGAATACACAACTGAAACAAAGAAGTGGAATATACAAACACTATAATCTAGCAGAGGAGTCACTGATGTCATGTTCAATTGAATACAGTATTGAACCTGATAAGGTCACTTGCACTGCAACACATGTTACAAATATGAAAAAAAAAAAAATACTAACAATCTTGACTGGTTTTTCTGCTTGAGATAGTTTGTAGGACGCAAGGGAAATCACTGTAACATGCTTTAAATATGGCACCTGAACACGAACAAATAAATTCTCATTAAGTTTTCTTGCTTGAATTATGAAAATCTTTTTTCCTTTCCAGATAGACAACTGACCCTATAAGTTTACTACCACTCAAATTACCAAAAATGCGGTGTTGGATTATTATTTTATTTTTTCTGGTGGGGTTGGGGAGGGGGCACAAGACCTTACATCATGAGACACCCACAGATGGGGATATTATTCAAGAAAGAATACCAAAAGACACAATCACTTCTCTAGGAAGAGGAGGGGAAAAAAAATCTAAGATAGCACTGAGCAGGAACCATAAATGCAGGATATCTGTGATTGCAATTTGTTGAGCAGCCTCAAAGGCAAGACAATTTCTGAGATAAGATAACACTGCTTTATTTTTAGATATGGTACACCTTACCTTGATAATATCTCTGCATTACCTCATCTCTGAATTGTATAATAGTGTTGCCAGGGAAAGAACACTTGCTGCAAGGATTTTAATTTTGTCCCTATAATGGTATATCAGACTCCTTTAAGAGAGATATAATCTTAAAATATCTATTTAGCTTCAGTTGAAGAACTTGACATGTATTATAAAGGAAGCTAGAAGCAAAAATAACCTAGCCTCTATTAATTCTTAAAACAGTTCTTCCACCAAGTACTCCTGTTTTATTATACCTTAACCACCCTCATTTAACTTAAAGAAACCATCTATGGGAAATTCCACTGAATGATAAAAATCCTATTAGCATCAATGACAACTAATTAGTTGGTTGAAATAGATTAAGTAGGTCATAACAAATCATTGACACCAGCTACCCTCTATAGCGTTTCAAGGTAAGTCAGTTAACAAAATAATATTTATCATGTCCCCACAGCGTTCTAACTATTTGGGATTGTATTTGAGCGCATTCTGTTTGGAACTGCACTCACTATAAAAAAATGTACCTTAAAAGAATCCGTCACACTATTTATCACATCCTACTAACTATTTTAACCAGAAATGGCCAAGATGATCTTGCACTGGCTGCCACAAACATCTTAAGCTGGAATTAATTCCAAAAGAAAATTTCACATTAAACCAATTGCTGAGATTATATAGTTCATCATCTTATTCATTTGACTTGAGGATTCGAACCTCCCTTGTGAATATAATTTAAAACTTACTCTGTTCAGGGAGAATCTATTGTTCCAGTTCAAAGTAATAATTCTTTTCTGAGCCCAAGCTCATGCAAAAATTAAACCTATTTGTTTTAGAAGAACATTGGTTTAAGTTTGTTTGCGATGGCTTTATGGAATCATTCTTTTCAAGCTGTGCCTTACTATTCTTCCTCTTATTTATCATGTTCATAACTATAGGCTATAGTCCAGTTATCTATTGCCATATGTAAATAACATTAATTTATTTTGAACAATATAGCTTTATGTTTCTTTTCTCTGTTAGTATTCTGCAGTTTCTATTAAAAATCTGCTACATGATGATCAATTAGTCTCTCTAATGCAGGTCGTATTTGATCATGATGGTGAGACGTATATGCATGCAAATGTTTCAATTTAGTACGTTGTACTCTCTTTGATGCTTAACAGAAAGTATTTGTTCATTGATTCTACATTTTAAACCGAAATACTGTCTTTTTCTTAAGGTCGAGCAATAGCCTTCTTTTGCTTTGTTTAAAACTAGTAAAGATGTCTGCAATCAGCATAGTATCATTAAGTGTTTCAGTTATGTGATTTATGTGGACTTGTTCTGGACATGATCAGGTACTTTTGAACTCTCATCCCAATAAATCCAACCCCCCTGCTCCCGGGTGTCCATGAGCACTATACAAAGAGACAAGGAGATGGTTTTTGTTATATTAGTGAAAATGATACCAAGTATCATTTTCAATAAGCATTCTCATACTAGTTCCGCTAAAAACAGCCAGCTTACACCAAATTTACGGAGGTGAAGTTCGGAAAAGTCACACACTAGTTGTGATACTTGAGTGTTCATGGGCATTGCATGGAGAGACAAAAGGATCATCCCAATAACAAGTCCCTCTTTTTGCCTCTAGAGTGTCCATGAGCATTGTATGGAGAGATATAAGGAGATCGGTTCGTTTTATATTAGTGAAAGCGATGCCAAATATTATTTTCAGCAGAGACTAAGGAGTACCTTTCACGTCACTTTGTGACCAAAGATATGGGGAAACCCAAATACTTTCTTGGGATTGAGATTGCATACCAAAAGGACCGTTTACTGCTATCTCAAAGAAAATATGTATTGGACCTATTAGAAGAAATGGGCCTTTTGGGGTGTAAGCCAGCAAACACTCCCATGGAAGTGAATGTGGACTTATGGCGTGATAATAGTCCTCTCCTAGATGATGCAGGCCGATATAGGAGATTGATTGGCAAGTTGATCTATCTTACTGTGACCAGACCTGATATTACCTTTGCAGTGGGAGTATTAAGCAGGTTTATGCATAACTTCCACCAAAGTAAAGAAGGTAAAGTTATACAAAATTACAAATACTTGCGATAAATGTTTGTCATTTTGCAAACTTTAATAAAGGCTAGCAAAATTACAAACGCTTAACACAAGTGTTTGTAATTTGCTAAATTTCATCAAATTGCCACATCCCTGAATTTAGTAGAGTGCCCTTAGTAATTTTCTCTTTGATCAGCCATAAGATAAATAGTTCTTCACTATCTTAGCACTATCATCATCTTCAACATAAGAATAAAGCTTGGCAAAATTACAAACACTTATGAAGTGTTTGTAATTGTTAGAATTTGTTCTTGGGTTTTCGGGTTAGGGCCCATTAACCCATTAGCCTATTACCCATATGTAACCCTATATATACCCATGGAGATGAATGGAATGGTAGTCTCTCTGATTTTCCTACTACTAACATGGTATCAGAGCAGGGTCCAAAACCCTAACCCTAGTTCTCAAAAAAAAAAAAAAAGGGAAGAAAAAAAAACAAAGCAAACCCTAGCCGCCGCCGCCCTTGTTGCCCTCTGTGCTCACCGCCGTCGTCATCTCAGGACCCGCCGCCGCCGCCTCAGATCTAGTCTCTTCTTCGCCGCCTAGATCTCGTCACACAACATCTTCCTCAGTCGCAGCCGTCGTCGTTGTCCATATCCGAGCTCGTCGTCCTCAGATCTGCGTTCGTCTTCCTCAACTGCTTGTCGTCGTCTGCGCTCGCCGTCGCCGTCGTCGTCTGCGCCCGTCGTCGTCGTCGTCTACGCCCAACGCCTACCTCGCCTTCGATGAAGCCTTGTCGTCGTCATCTGCGCGAAGAAGCTTTCGCCTCGTCGTCGTCATCTGCGCGAAGGAGCTTTCGATGAAGCTCTGGATTTTTTTTCTTTCAAGCTATTGCTGCTCTTTTTTTTGTGTGGGCTTGGGCCTTTAATAGTTGGCTTTTGTTCTGTTTCTTGAGGGCGGAAATATTCTACAGTTAAAAAAAAGAGTAAAAAAAAAAGAAAAGTAAAAAGAAAAAAAAAAAAACAAAAAAAAAAAAAAACTCCACGGGCATGGTTTGAGAAATTTAGTACTGCTATATCTGGTGTCGGTTTCAAACGATGTCAGTCTGATCACTCCGTCTTTATCCGGCGCACTACATCTGGTCTGGTGGTTCTGGCAGTATATGTTGATGACATCCTGCTAACTGGGAGTGACCTTGTTGCCATAGGAGAGACTAAGGAGTACCTTTCACGTCACTTTGTGACCAAAGATATGGGAAAACCCAAATACTTTCTTGGGATTGAGATTGCATATCAAAAGGATCGTTTACTTCTATCTCAAAGGAAATATGTATTGGACCTCTTAGAAGAAATGGGCCTTTTGGGGTGTAAGCCAGCAAACACTCCCATGGAAGTGAATGTGGACTTGTGGCGTGATAATAGTCCTCTCCTAGATGATGCAGGCCGATATAGGAGATTGATTGGCAAGTTGATCTATCTTACTGTGACCAGACCTGATATTACCTTTGCAGTGGGAGTATTAAGCAGGTTTATGCATACACCTAGAGAGGTTCACTGGACTGCTGCTCTAAGAATTTTAGCTTATGTTAAAAGCTGCCCGGGAAAAGGATTACTGTATAAGAAACATGGACATTTACACATCTCTGCCTATTCTGATGCTGGGTATGCGGGAGATATAGGAGATAGAAAGTCTACTTCTGGATTTTGCACCTTTATTGGAGGAAATCTGGTTACTTGGAGGAGCAAGAAACAAGATGTAGTATCTCGATCTAGTGCAGAAGCAGAATACAGAGCTATGGCTCACACTGTTTGTGAGATGATATGGCTACAGAAGCTGCTGACCGAGCTTGGTTTTTCGCAACCTGAATCTATGCCTATGCATTGTGATAATCAATCTGCTATCCACATTGCAAAGAATCCAGTGTTTCATGAGAGAACTAAGCATATTGAAGTCGATTGTAATTTTGTCAGAGATGCATGGGAAAAGAAAGTGATATCTCTTCAGTTCACTCCGTCTTCGGAACAGTTAGCTGACATTCTCACTAAAGCTACTTCACCTAATGTGTTTTCCATTCTATGTAACAAGCTGGGCATGATTGATATATATGCTCCAGCTTGAGGGGGAGTGTTAGAATTAGTTCTTGGGTTTTCGGGTTAGGGCCCATTAACCCATTAGCCTATTACCCATATGTAACCCTATATATACCCATGGAGATGAATGGAATGGTAGTCTCTCTGATTTTCCTACTACTAACAGTAATTTTGCTAAATTTCATCAGATTGGCACATTCGTGATTTTAATGAAGTGCCCTTGGTACTTTTCACTTAGATAGCATCCAATTGCCATAAAATAAACAGTTTTACATTGTCTTGGGCATTATCATCATCTTCAACAGAGAACAATAAAAATGTCTTTCAGAGTTTTATTAGAAGCTGGTACCAGTGAAAGTATATACTTGAAATGGAAGGTGGATACTAAAGTAAAAAAAATTTCAATATGGGCATGTAGTTGAAGATTTATTAAAAAATTGAAGAGGAAAGAGGAGCCCTTGCTCACAATTGTAAGAGTCGTTGCCATGTATTGTGGAGGTCACAGGTTTGAGTCGTGGAAACAGACTCTTGTAAAAATGTACTATAGACTCAAAGTGCTCTGACCTGAAGCAGTGTGCAAGCAAAACCTCAGAATCACGACCCCTCCCCGGACCTTGCACATAGTTTCTTGCACCGGACTGCCCCTTTGGTAAAAGTTGAAGAGAATTTATTAACTTAGCTTTAAATTTACCGTTGGAAGGTTCATTGATATGGGATAGATTTAATACTAGATTCAAAAGACTTCTAGTTGAATAAGGGAGGTTCAGCTACTCTATTCTTGTAGAGGCCACAATCATATTTGAAAAGATCATTTTTGGGCAAGAGATTTCGAAGTCCATTGCAGCACTTTATCTTAAATAACTATGATCACCTGCTGTATGACTTGTCTAGCTTCATAACAATAAATAAAGGACTTGACCAAAATATCTATCACAAGCATAGAAGACTTGTCAACCGAAAATCAGCTGTAATTTCGAAGTTTTAACTGTCAAGTTTGAAAGTAATAAGTGCTACATATCAATGTTGCTGATCCGATCGTGAAGGGATAATGTGATAACCCTTGGAGTCTTTTAGCTTATTTAGAAAATTGGTTTATATAAATCATCATACTCGCTTTCTAGATGAATATATGCTCAATTATTTAGGTTTATGATCAAATCATCTCAAGCATCTTACTGCATATATAAGGAAATTGCAATAGTTTATTTTTCTAGACTGCCTTAGCGGGTGTTTTCTACCAAGTTATGCAGCAGTTCCACCTTTTGTTGCCTTTTCTTTCTCTCCCTTCCTCAAATTGCTCCTTCCGTTGATCTGATGTACTGTTGTAATGATTCATTCTGCTTGCCAGCTTTCATAGCTTATCATCTATGACTGCATCAGATTGTTGATCATTGATATTGTATCATGATTGCCATCAATGGATAAGCTTATTTCTGACGGCAGAATTTTCATATATACTTTGCATCTATGTTTCTGCAATGTTAGGACATGCATCTTCTCTTTGTAGATTCTTAATTTAAATATTACAATCTAATTCATAAAGAAGGTCTATTCTTTTTTATGTCCTTATCCAAGAACTTAGCAAATGGGATTGACTATGGAGCATAATGTTCTGCAAAAAATCTGGCAAAAAATATGACAAATTATCAACTTTAAGTTAACCAGTAAGTTAGTGGAAAGTCCACAGAACAGGCAAATACTGACATGCAGGGGGCTTGTCATAAATCCTAGAAAGTCAGCTGGAGGTATATAAACTCTTGTTTCATGAGTTTCATGAGATATCTTAATTGATGCACAAACCTGAAGAAAAATTCATAGGATTCAGTTTGTTACTGCTCCTTTAAGATGCATTTTATTTTCATTATCCTTTTTCTCAGAGCAATTATAAAGGATGCATTCCACAATTGCACACATGCAATTTTCTCATTTTCTTATTGAAGTTCTATTGTTTATTTATTTAATAATAATTAAAAACTTAGAATGTGTCTACTGAATGGATGTATTAGGTGTTAAAGTAATAATTGGTACGAAGTTATTTTTTCTGTGTTATGTTTGAATTATTGAAGGTTTAATATTGTTAGAAGACTCTTTTGTAACTGCATTATCAAACATGATCAGGCTACCCTCCTAGAGTGGATTCTTTGAGGAGTTTGTAAGTTAATTCTCAAAGATTTCAGTTCATGTGACTTTTGAGTGGTCAAAATTTTCTTTTCAGGCGTTCCATTTGGCCCTACTACTACAAAACAGTCCAAAGAATGTTACATGGCTAAAGGTAAGAGGTAACCTTTTCATTAATTCAAATGTGAATGGTGGAGATCGACATTGATATTTGTATTGACAGCTGAATGAGTGTAAGGAAGTCTGATACCTCACCTACATAAGCAACCTCCCTTAGTTGTATTCAGTCACAAACAAGCTTAACAGGAACTTTCTACTTCCAACTCCATGTATATGGATGCTAATTTGTTACTTGCTCTCTAGTTGATTTTCCTAGAGAAAGTGTTTTGAAGAGATAGGGTAGAGTCCCATAATTTAATAGTGGCCTGCTTCCTGTCTGTCCATTTTGATTACAATAAATATAATGCACATTTAAGAAAGCTCTAACATTTTTGGTCTGGAGCATAGGTGGCAGGCTTGGGGGTCTGATTTGATCTTGTAATGGTTCGATTTTGTCTATAAGACATGATTACTTTTTTTTGTGTGGTAGAAGTAATATTAGGTGTTTGTTAATATTTCTCTAATTTGCCTCTGGTCTACATTGATTTGTAAAGTAGACAAGAAAACTGATTTTGCATACATCTAAATTCTCATCCTAAATTATATTATATACGATAGTCCAACTTAAATTCAACTTCATCCTTAAAAGAAAAGTTAATAAAATAAAATAAAAAATCCTACTCGCGTGACAAGATGGTTGCGAATTTAAAATTTAAGCTAACATTTTCAGGTGGTTCTTTTCACATGAAAATTATAGGTGGTTCCTATCACTCTTATGTTAGTATTTATATTTACGAGTGCACCGGGTATAGCTTAAAAATCTTTTTCAGGTATAAGAGAATTGGAGCTTCATGAAATCTCAAAAAGAGAAAATTTGTGAACACTAATTGCTACTCGGTAACCTTGGATTAATTAAAATAACACCTTCAATAAATAAAATTCTATTAATCTTTTTGTGCCCCTTGTATCCCGGTATGACAAAATTGGAGTTTAACATCTGATTTTCTGGGGGAACCTGTTAAGGCTTGTACTGGAATGAAATATCTGATTGATTCGTAGCCAAGTTACAGCTGTGGAGTATGGATGTCATATATGTCATAGATGCTATACATCCACCAGATAAGTTGTTCTTATATCTTTTGCTCATCTGCTAAACTTGTGTCAACAAGTGTTATCATTTCAAAGCAGAAGGGAGTTAGCATATATGCTCCTTTTGAAACAAATATAAGCAGTGAAATACTGGGGAACTATTATAAGAAACTTTTGGGTGGACACATAAGTAAACCCCTTCCTCATTTAGCAAAATATTTTTGGCGCGTCCTATTGGGAATTGGAGATTAAGTATCGTCCATAACAATACCCAGTTGGATTAGTTCCATTAATCCTCATTTCTTCTCATTATCTTTAATGTCGCGTCAATGATAGAACTTTTTATGCTATTCTTTTAGTTCTTGTGAGAACAGTTTTTCATGGCGGTGCTTCACGAGATAATATTGCTTTGATTCCTTTGCTAGTCCATAGATGCATTTCAAATGTTTTTTTTTATCATCCGGTCTTTGTTGGCCAATAATCTTCCATTTTGTGATTCTCAACTATACTTGCTTTTACTGAAGGTTTGACTTTTCGACATATGATATATCCCTCGTATAAAAGCAATCGCCCTCCAACTCCTGATACTGTTGTTCAAGGACTTCAATATTTGAAAGCATCTATCAAGGCTATGTCTATCAAAGTAATCGAGGTAACAAAATATGGTTAATAGTTAAAGAATGATGAGCTTGAAAATTTATATTATAATGCTCTATGAGACAGGTTCCAGGTGTTGAAGCTGATGATGTGATTGGAACCATGGCTGTTAACTATGTCTCTAGTGGGTTCAAGGTTATCTTCCTTGATGCTAATATTTCTCAATATATGTTTCTCTTTTTAACTAGTTAGAAAGTTAGGATATATTTTAAGGTTTCATTTTTGTTATATGCTCATCCAGTATGTCATAGTTAGCTATTTTTCCTTTATGAATTTATTCATGACTTCATGGATCTGCGAACATTTTTTCAGCAAACATCTTGATCTTCATAGCATGTGAACTTAAACCACACACATACATCACAGAAATATAAATAATATTAACTTCTTTCTATTTGATCACTTTATGATGTGCAAATGCTTTATATAGTCATATAATATTTGCATGTATTACCAACTTATCACTCTACTTGAAAGTTTAAGCTGCTGATCGTCGGCTTATGGTGTATATCAATTATATTATACGTTAGCCCTTCCTCTCACGTGGGTTTTTGGACCATGTGGAAAGGCCTAAAACAAGACCATGATTTGCTTGCGAAAGCAGAAAAGTAGAGTAAATAAACATGTTTTGAATTGCCGAACATGATGCTTGGATGAGGACATCAAAGCTTGTTTGGTGATCTTGTGTTAGATAACCATTTCATCTAAAATAATAAGTTGAGTGTTTATGGCTAATAATGCATTTTAAGCAACTGTTAGACTAAATATGCACAAATCTAGAACACTAAAGGACGCATGTTGGAACCTCTTTCAAGTTTAACATTCAAAATCAGTCAGACTTAAAAATTGGTGCTGTCAGTTGGTGTTAACCTTATGAGATTTAACAACCTTAATGAGTAAAATGGCATCTAAAATGCACTAATGCATTCTTTTTAAAATGAAAAAAATGTATTAGGAGTTATTGGTTAGTGCCTTGTTTAGAATGTGACGTAGGAAGAAAAAGAGTCCAGTAAAAATCTTCAGAAATCATTTAGACAAAGTCGTTTAAAAGGCTTCAAAATATGAGATGGGAAATTCTTGTGTTAGTAATTGAAACCTCAGGATTCAAATCTTGCTATTAAGGAAATATATGCTCTTTTAGGAATGCTGGGCAATCACGCATTCCTTTTATTTTTCAGGGAAGGATTTTTTGTTTGAATCTCAACTATCCATATTTGAGTGCAAGGAACTGTCAATTACTCCTATCCTACTTAATATAAAGTAGCTTCTAATGGAACCGCATCCTGTTATCTTAATCCTACTCTAAAATCTTAGCCTAAATCAAATTTTGATTTGGCCATTGATTTAAAAAATACACACTTCTACAGAAAAAAATTGACTGATATAAATTGCACGCATCTTATTTAATTTTTTATGTATTTGAATTCATTATGAAAAACATGGAGACATAGAGTATGATTTGCAATTGTTTTGGATGTTTTTTCCTTGGGAGACAAATATTCAATGTGCATTGTTGTCTATGACTAAAGCTTATATAGAGAGCAGGTAAATTATATTTTATTTAATTTTAAGTTATAAAATTGTTTCAGGGAAAAATGATTTTGTCTTTTACAAATTCTTTAATAATGCATTATTTTCCATTTGTAATGTTTTTTCTTTCATTTAGTATCTTTTTAAACACAAAACTTTACCATTCTTCTGTTTTTCTTTGCGTTACTACATTCTGCTAATTATGGAACAGGCCATAATTATTCACAAAATCATCTCAACTGGTCAGGATATTGGTTTCTAGCTATCGAAGTTAACATTCTAGCATTTTTCATGTAAATGTCTCATAGAAGGAACCCACGCATTTTCGGATAGTGATAGAATAGTCTGCTATTGATGGACACCTATACATTATTTATGAATTTGTCACAGGTACGAGTTGTTTCTCCAGACAAAGATTTTTTCCAGATCTTATCACCTTCACTGCGACTACTTCGGATTGCTACACGTGGATCTGGGTAAGAATTGTTCATATCCTGACAAATCAACTATATTCTTGTCAAATGTATGCAACTAGTTGTGCTTGCTACAACATTTCTGCTATTGTAGTGTTTATAACATCTATCAATTTGAGATGATTATTGTCTTCATCTTCCCCTTAGCTTTGAATAAACAAAAAAGTCAAAATCAGATGGAAAGAAAGAGGTGGAAGAAAGGGAAGATGTGAAAAAAAGATAAGTCTTCAATTATGATCTGGAAAATTCAGTTAAGAGCTTGATGGATAGTTACTTAATATTAATTAATCTATGAGTGAATAGCTTTAGATTCCGTGAATGTTATCCCTTTCATGTACATTGCCTTTTCTCGTCTTTTCAAACTGCTTCGACCTATATGAAGGATTTCTTCTTCATGATTTGTCGCCTATGATACTTCTAGAAGCTGATTGAAGGCACTTGTCATATATTGAAGCCTATTGGTTAGAGTTTGTCACAGTCATACCGTGTCAGAAGTTGTCTGGAATGACCACAAGGAAATTATAATGTAGATCGCACTCCAACTTTAAATTAATTTAAAAAGATATGGACATGAACATGTGCATGCATATCCAATCTCAGCTGGCTAGAGATCAATGGTGAAGCTATGTACCCTATGCGTTTGATTATTATGTACACATCAAACTCTGTAAATTCTCCTTTGCACATAATTTTTAGGGTTATTTGCATGTATACCCCTTAAATCATAGGTATTTGCAAAAATGCGCCCCAAATCTTAGTATATGCAAAACTATCCCTCAAAATCAGCAACTTTGAGGATAACAAAACCCCTAAAATCAACAAATCGTCAACTTGGTGATAAAATTTTGACTATTTTGTTGATAATTTGAACATTGCAATCACAAATTAGCTGATCAAAGTTGATGATTAATTATTTGAGGGTATTTTTTTCTAAAATTAATAATTTGAGGATTAGTTTTGCAAATATTAAGATTTGGAGGGTATTTTTGCAAATACCCATGATTTAAGGGTTATATATGCAAATAACCCTAATTTTTATTACTTGTTAAAGAACAAAATTATAACCCTCAACACTCACAGAGCAACCGTGGTTCAGTCTTGCTGAGCACAATTTAAAGTAGATTAAAAAAGATTCCGCTTCAGAATTCAAGGTTTCGGTCCATGAAATGGTGCTAAACCCGTGGGGGCATGTGAGAGTATAAATTATAACCTTCAAATCCCCATGGTAACTTTAAACACCATAGGTTGCTTTTGTTCTTCCAAGACAGTGAAGACACCATATCACATCCTACAAATATTCAATATTCACTAGGATATCAGTCTTTTGGCGATCTATCCGTAGTATAACCTTCATTCTTAGATTCCCGTGATTCTGGTACAGTAGGCCATGATTTGGAGTATTTTTGAGAGATTATAATATAAGAACAGCCTCATCCCTGTAACTTTGTATGAGGAGCTTAAAAAACTGAGTTACTACACTCACAACATAAATATGAAATATATGATCTATTAACTCTTAACTTAGTTCGGTTTTCACAATAATTTTTTATCCAAAAAAAAAAAATCTGACAACTCACCTTTATCTGAAAACAACTTACAAGAATCTGTCGGAGTAGCAGTGATTCTGTGGAGCCTGCATCTGCCACTCGCGTATAACTTAATGAATCAAGAACAAATTCCTCGGAGACAGAAATAACATGTTTAGGCCTTGGAATTTAAGTTTTCAAAAAGTATCTAAATCGTCCCACGTCTATAGTTTGAAAAATTCTTTTTCCACTAGAAGTATTCATTTTCTATGTCTGATAGTCACTGCATCCTACTATAACTGTTTCATCAACATAATCTCCAAAACTGTCGTCATGTTGTTGTGGTCAGATAGAAACACAATGGCCATCTATGCACCTCTTCAAACTGAATTCCTTCCTGTTGAACATACCAAGCCCCACGCTTGTAAATTGATTCAAGCCAAACAAAGGCTTTCTGAGACGACATATTAATCCAAGAGGACCAAGACTAGTTCATTTCTTCATAAAAAGACGCCATTCCTTTTATCAAATTGTTCTTGGAAGGTGTCATGTTTTTTTGTTTTATTTATTTTATTTTATTTTATTCATTTTTTATTTTTTGAGCTTTGGCAACTTTTGGTGTATCTTTTGCCAATAATCGTGTGAAAATAAAATAAAACTCATCTTTCTATAATCCATTTATCTACTGTTTTGGCTTTTTGTCTCTCGCAGGATCTCTTCTTGCTTAGAAGCCTGGTTAACTACAACCCATTATCTCTTATACGCTCATACTAGATAAATGATCGAATTTCTGTTCGTTAGATTAGACTTATGAAGTAAGATCAATATCTGTTAAAATCATAGGGACAACCTTAAAATCTGAGAAGGCTTTAGCTCTTATGGTTATATATAATGCTGATTTTCTTGACTCAAGATCATTATATATATATATATATAGAGAGAGAAAAATGGGTATACTTGGTACCAAGGATCCTTGGTAGTGATGTGGACACATCTTGTCCATACATCACACCTAGAAGATGGAGCCTCACCAACTCCAAGGTGTGATGTATGGACAAGATGTGTCCACATCACTACCAAGGATCCTTGGCCCAAGTATACCCATAAAATATGTATGCTTGGTACCAAACACAAAAAGTTATGCTTGGTAGTGAGGTGGCATAATCTCCTCCACTCATTCAAATGGTTGCATATCCCAATGCACTCCTCAACCCATGTGAATGTGGTCCTCCCATTTGAATGAGTGGAGGGGATTGTGCCACCTCACTACCAAGCACAAAATTTACGCTTGGTACCAAGCATACCCATATTTCTCTCTCTCTCTCTCTAATTGAAACTTCTTATCGGACCAAAGTTTCAGAGCTTACATTAAGTTGTATAATACTGACTTTATTGTTGATGTGGTGCATAGGATGGCCTCATTCGGACTCGAAGACTTTGCTAAGAAATTTGGGGAACTACGACCTACTCAGTTTGTTGATTTTATAGCACTTGCTGGTGACCATGTTGACAACATTCCAGGTTTGTTTTTCATGTCTGATTGTTTTACTTTTGAAGAACTTATTATTGATTGTAGTTCTGCATTTTATTCTGAAGTTAGAAGCTCAGTTTTTCTGTTACTATTTTCCTTTTTGCTCTTCATATTTATGAGTAACGTTCACTGGTAAGAGGGAGGAAACACAAACTGTCAGGGTGTGTAAATATTTCTATACTTTAGTTCATTCAGATTTTTGTGTAAGCGCAGTATGGTTCTCACTTTTAGTGTACTAAATATGCAGAGAACCTATTCAGTGTTTTTGATACCTTATTTTGACAGACTACTTGGTATGGCTAGAGTAATCTTGAATCATACCCATGTAGAGTTAGGTATACCAGATTTTGTTCCTGAGATCCTTTGGAAAGCTTTAATATCTTATAGTGATGAAAGGGTGGGAATTAATTCAGAATTGGAGTGAATAGGCTTTTTCCCCCTTCTTAGAACAAGTAGTCATCTGTTTAGATGTTGTCAATGGATGGGGTGAAGGTGAGAATTTACTAGTGAGACACACATGATTCCTAGTTCTCAAAGCCAAAGGCTGTCCGAAGCTCCACAATTAGGTCCAACAATTGAAGCAAAACAGTCAACATATAGGCATGCTGATAAGTGGACCTTACAGAAGTTGATGCTGTTGGACTTGATCTTATTCATTTGGAACCCAGAAGACCATGCGCCTGATATTGCCCAACACTGTTATGTCTCCCGAAAGACATATACAGAAACACATTTATCATCAGTGGATTTGCCATACACTTGCTGTTTTGTTATTCGTCAATGTCGGTTAAAATTATTTGGAGTCCAATGAGCCACTATATCAGAGCAATGTCATGTCATAATTTGTGGAGTTGTTCACATTTGATATAAAGTTGGATCCTTTTGGTTTGAAGCCCTAAAGAAAAGGGACTGATTTCTTTGTTTGGTACTGTTGCAATTTCACTGAGTATGTCTGTCAGTAGCAGCACTATGGTATGCTACTTTGAATTTAAATCGCCGATTCACAGCTCCATCTACCTTAATGTGTGTGTGCATTATCTTTCTGCACACCTTCTTTGGTTTCATATGTGCTGCTGTATTTCAACTGGTACGGCTTGCAGAATTATCTTGTTTGTGCAGTTTATAGGCTTTTCTAAGTCCTAAATACAGCACCAAGAGGCCTTATAGAAGACAGAAGTTTGGCAACTTGATTCAATGATTTAACCACTGCATGGATGACATTATGATGTTTTACCTGATGGTTCAACTGTTCAGCAACATTCGTGTTAACACATGGGTCTACATTTACCATCTTCTTCTTACTGAATTATCTACTTCATGCAGCATAGGTTGTAGACTTTCTAATCCCTAAATTACCATCCAGAGGGATTTGACCTGTCACTGATGGCATCCTGATAGTTTAGCTGTTTTCAATAGCTTAGCTACTTCGTCTTAGCTGATTATTTAAAAGTTTAAGCATTACTTAATTCTCAATTGATGATTCAACGGTCTTGCAACTTCTTTTAGCTGATGGCTTAATGTTTAATTGCAGCCTGTTTGGTTGATTTCCCAGAAATCTAATTCTGGGAAATAACCCATAAGAAATGGGCTGTGGGACCCATTTTTCCTTTTCCTCGCCCATTTCTGGCTCATTTTCTGGAAATAATTTTCCTTCCTTTTGGGGCCCAATGCACTATTAACATTTCTAGAAGTGGGTCTCACATGTACTTTTTTCCTCTTTTTTCCCCAACCAAACAAAAGAAAAGAAATGATTATAGAAACTCTATTTCCTACAATGACCTTCTTTTGGTTTCCTTGTGAACCAAACAGAGCATTTCTTGCTGGTACCACAATTTCTGCATGCTGAAAACATGGTCTTTAATACATTTTATTACGCAAGTAGTTAATTATACATGGAAGGATGAATTAATCAATTTTACTTCTTTTAGGTTGGATATGTACTTGATCTCTCTTAATATTTATTTTCCTTTCCATGCATTTATATATGTATGGTCCAAGTACAAATCTTAAACTGTTACAGTATCGCGCTAACAGAGAAATTTCTTGCAATATATATGTCATTGAAACTCTCCAGATTATAATCATTTCTTTCTTTATGTAGATTATACTGAGATTGCTGCATTTTATATTTTAATCCTCTTTCTTTTTGTGTTTTTAAATCTTTATCAGTTAAAAAATACAGTATAACAGATTTGATGATATCTATTGTATTTTTTTTCTCTGTAAGCAGGAGTTGAAGGTATTGGAGAAGTACATGCTTTGAAACTGATCACCAAGTTTGGTATGGTTTCCTTATGAAACTTCTAGTTATCTAGGAAGCTTGTTCAAGAGTGTGTCCTCAGCAGTGTCCTATCTTGGTTGCCTGCTGATCATTTTCTTCCATTCAGCTTAGTTCAGGCAACCTATTCTTAGCAATGATCTTACCCTATTTTACTGTCTCTATTCACATCCGCTTAGTTATTGTTGCTCCATTACGTACAAGTTCCAATAGTATTCCTATGTACTCAATTTTTATTTTGCTCAAAATTGCCGAATACTGAGAAATTCAGAAAGGAGGTAGCAAACGAGCCAATAAGCTAATTGGAACCTTGTTTCTTACAGGAGATTTACTCCATCTCTCAAATTAAATGACTGAAAAAAAATCAAAATCCATCTTCAGTTTCCTTCGACAGGGTTATCCTTATAAAATAAGAATTGTCCAGTCCCTGTCCCTTTGTATTTTCAATTCTCGTAATGACTAATTCATGTAGGTGATGGCTGCATTGAGATAAGTTCCTGTAGTGCTGCAATTTTGCAACTTCAAATATTCTTTCAAGATATGTAATAGTTTGATATTTGTACTGAGTACAGTTAGTGATATCCCATCATGCCCCATGTGGTGCTACTGAAATTCAACGTGCTGATTTTCTGCTTCAGCTAATGTTTGCTCCTTTAGTGGCAAGGATCATGAAGAAAACTGTCTTAACTTCTAATACTTGTGTTTTTATAAGGATTATATAGGAAATCATGAACTCTAGGATCATCTCACATGGACATTCCTTGTTCTTATGATGCATTTGATTTACTTGTACTGGTTCTTACTTTCATTTGTAGTACAAAACTAAAAGGTTTTCCTTTTTGCAAACTCGACAATAATGAACTCATAGCAAAGCTAATTTCCTGTATCTCTAACTAGGTTCTGTGGAGAACTTGTTGCATTGTGTGGATCAGGTTGAGGAGGAACGCATTAGAAAGGTGCTATCCATCCAGTATTGTTCTGAGTATTTTTTTCAGATAATATCATATGTTGTCCTTCTTTTCTTCTTTTAGCTAGCTTCTCATTTAGTTATTATCTTAAGTTACAGTTCCTTGTTCATTTCGCTTGCTAAGATAATTTGGAAAATGGTTACAGGCTATAATGCTAAATGGTGATCAGGCTCTACTATGCAAGAACTTGGTAAGCCTTGGCCGTTTCCAATTTAGCATAAGTGTCATTTGTTTTGAACATTTTGTTTCTTTTGCACTAACTAGATGGAAGATATTCTTCTATCTTTTTTTTCCCTTTCCTATTTTTTAATTATTTTCCCTTCTCTATAAATCTTCATTGATGCAAATCAACCCCCACCCTCTCAAAAAGAAAAACCAACAAAAAAACCCACCCCCACCCCAAAACACCCTTCCAGGCTGATCATTCAACTTTTCTTTATCCTGCAATAATTGAAAGATATGATAAGCAATAAATTACAGTTTATGAATCATTCGTTTCTTCTATTAGGTAAGGGTCACATATTAGCAATGGAAACTGCAAATGATTTCTGAGTGCAGTGTAGGCGTCAAAAAATGCTGAGAGATATCCGAATACAACTCAAAAAGGATATCATCCAAAAAAGGCAGAAGAACACAAATATGGGCTGTCTCGCACGCGAGACAGTCTTTACTGTCTCGCCCAGGCGCAGAAGAACACAAGTATGGGCTGTCTCGCACGCGAGACAGTCTTTACTGTCTCGCAGGCGAGACAGTATTCTCTGTCTCGCCATGCGAGACAGCATTCTCTGTCTCGCCCGCGAGACAGCCTTCAAAAGATCAGAAACTGTTTTGTAATCGCCGACACGTGGCCACTAACTGTTCAAGAACGTGGGAAACGTCGTGTGCGAGAATCACGTTGATAACTGCCAAAATAACTGAGTTGTAAAACGTGGGAAGGCAGTTACAAGAAAATTGCTGGGCGGTTGAGGATTTCCGAGACAGCATTTACCGTCTCGGAACCCGAGACAGTGTTTACTGTCTCGGAACCCGAGACAGTCTTTGCTGTCTCGACCGCCGAGACAGCAAACACTGTCTCGGAAGTGGTTATTCTCCAGGGGTTATAAATACCACCCCTGTGATCATTTGTTTGAAGAGGCTGATCATTCTTGAGCATTTTGGAGCAGAGAGAGCAGAGTTCCTGAGCTTCTAGCCATCCCTTGAGATTCGAGCTTTGACTTGATTTCAAGAAGAACGACTATCTTACTTTGATAAGATATCGTTTCAAATTCTCACTTCGATAAACGAAGGAAGAATCATTAAACCCCTCAAGATTCAATCAGAATCTGTGATTTGTGGTCCACGAGTCAAAGCGCTCCCGACACAGGCAAAGATCCCACGCAAGCAGCGATCCAAACAACGATCCTGCGTTTGTTTCTAAAAAGTTATAATTTTCTTATTGTAATCGACCGAAGATATAATGAATTCCATGACAAAACCAACTTTTGACGCAAACAAGCTGGCGACCACAGTGGGAGCCAACGGTCTCGCTGCCGAGACCGTCGTGTCGCAGCCAACCATCAAGATCCCGGTTGAATCAACGGTCGAGTACGAGTTCGACCAAGCGAAGTTTGAGGAGTATTTATCATCCTCATCTGTAAAGTCTTCCTCGCAAATGCAGGAAGATTTTATCTTTGTTGAAGTTGTCAAACACTACAGATGAAGACTCTCGCTTAATTGTTGCTGAGGATTCTACTCGCAACCTCTCTGCTCATAATGACTCTTCTTCAATTAAGGAGTCATTAAATCAAAGCTCGCCGTCATTGACGAAAAGAACTCGTCAGAGACAACGCCAACGCCGCGCTCGCCAAATGGCTAAGGCTTTGGAACAATCCGACGGAGTTCGTTATCATGCGGACTTAGAGTCGAGGAGGCATCGAGTGGTTCAGTTGTCTCAACGACCAATCACTTATGTCTCTGCTAAACTCACGACGGAAAAATAGACTATTGTCAAAAGGGCTCATTCGACCCTTAAAGAACGTATACAAAAATGTCGTGCAAACGCTGCTCATGCCCGTGCTCTCTTACAACAAAGACGAGAAAGGATGAAGGAAACGGTGGCCAAAGAACCACCGAAACTTTGTCAAGTTTGGATTCCAAAGTCTGAAGTTGTGAAAAATCAGCATTCGGAGCACGTTAGGACTCTACACCCGCAAGGGGGTGGTTCTAAACGTATGACTCTTGACATAACCTTGGATCGCTCAGAGGCGACGACAAGTCATCCTGGGTATGTTAACAAGGTTCAAACACAAAAACAGAAGATAGGTTGCTCTGGTCACCATGCTGACGAGTTGTACTATCAAACTAAAGGTGGGAACAAATCACATAAAACGACTGTTCGAGAAACGAATAGTCATTGTGTATGTGAAAAAACTTATCAAAGCAGTGTTGTCCAAATGCAACTGCTTTAAAGCCATTCCGCCGAAAGTTTCTGTGCTCCAGATACTTTCTACTGAAATGTTAAAGTCCAAACCGAGACGTTTCAACAAGAAGCTTACTAGTAAGAGGATGAATCCCTGAAGTCACCATCAACGTGGCTGATAAAGAAAAATCTAAATGGCATTCAAGTGAATCAAATCCCGACTTTTCCCCGAGAGGAAAAGTCAATTCAAGAATTGCCAAACAGATGTCCCGACCCCAATTAGGAGCCATCAGACGCAGGGATTATAAGAGAATGCATGAAGGAATATCCTCAGAGGATGAACTTTCAAACACTTGTTCAGCCATTGCTTCGGATGATACCATATCCAGCACAGAACAAACCAGAGAAGTCATCACGATCACTTCTGATCAGTTTGCTCAAATGCTTCAAGAAGCTCTAGCGAAACAACGTGAAGAAATTAGAGCTGAGATGAAGACAGAGATGGAGTTAGCTATCCAACAAATGAGAGAAGTGCTAACTCAACGGCCTCAACCTCCTGAGTCCAGTTAGCGAGCTGAATCCAGCCGCAACACTCAGAATGTTGTAGATGACAGTGATCCAGAAGTGGAGGAAATCATCTTTGCTGATACACCTCCCAATAGCAATAACGCTGGGGGTGGTTTAACGCACCCTCCCAATAACGATATTGGTGGTGGTTTAATGACACCTCTTACAGGGGGTGACCTAACTCATTCTCCTCAACGTTCTTCGAATGAAGACATAGGCAATGACGAGAAAATGAAAGAGCTTGAAAACAAAGTCAATGCTTTGATGGCGGCTCAAGAAGTGAAAAAGACGGGTATTCCATGTCCCTATCCAAGAGAATGGGATTCAATACCGTACCCGGCAAAATTCAATTTGATTAACTTCACACCGTTTGACAGAAAAAGTTCGCCTATTCAGCATTTGATTTATTTCAAGTCTCATTTGAGCATGATCTCTGAAAATGGGCTTTAAGGGTCCGGTCATTCGTTGGCACCCTTCGTGGGCCCGCCTTCGATTGGTACCGACGTCTCAAGCCAGGAAGCATTAATTACTGGGATGACATGAAAAGTTTGTTCCTCAGCAATTTCTTCGATGATGACACCGAAGTGTCAATCGGATCCCTTTTAGATGAGAAACAAAAAGACGGAGAGTCAGTCGACAATTTTGTCAAGCGCTTCCGTAACAAGGCAATGAATTGCAGAGATCCTGTTACAGAGGAGTTCATCCTGCAAACATGCCACAATAATCTCTCTATCGATGTTCTGGAAGCTCTGGGGGTCGTACCATCCAAAACTTGGAAAGATTTGAAAATGCGTGGTGAACAAGCTGAACATTTTCTTAAAAGAAAGAAAGCTGAGAGAAGCCGACCGACGACATCTGCAATCACTGGGAACGTGACTCCCGATCCGAGGTTTCAAAAGAAGTATTCTTTCGAAGATGATGAAGCTCCAGCCATCTTGAAATACCTCCTCGCCAACGACAAGATCGAGCTACCACCTATTAAAGATCAGGAGGGAGCTAAGAGGGTTACGGATCCAAACTACTGTGCGTACCACAGAAGAGTTCTTCATCCCACCGAGATTTGCTTCGGGCTCAAAAACAAAATCCAAGCCTTAATTGACTCTGGCGTCATAACGGCGAAACAAGCCAAGTAAAGACGACTCTAACTCAATTGGATACACGAGTATAAACTGTTCTCCTTAACTCCATTGGGTGCACGAGTATAAACTGTTTCCCCTCACTCCAAAGAGTATACGAGTATAAACTACTCCTCGATACTCCAATAGGTATATGAGTCTAAACTATTTCCTACTCTTGACGGGAAGTTCCTAAAAATTTTTTGCATGTAATATTCTTAAGGATAACCCAGTCATGTAACTCAGTTTGATGTTAGACCCAGTTTCGCGAAGGAAGCTGGGGGTGGATGGTTCATGTAACGGGAAGTTCTCGGAAGAATGCTATATGTAATTTTCTTAGGGATAACCCGATCATTACAAACAAAGTGATAAACACTACATCCCCACGGCGATCTCCGAATACTCTTTTGCTGAGATGAGATTCGATCACTTCTTTAGATCAATCTTCCCTCACAAAACTCATATTTGGTCAAACCTTTAAACAGTTTATTTTTCTATACAAAAATGAGAGTTCTTGTCTCTCAAATTATTCTAAGTTTTAGCTTGGAACTAGGTAATAAAAAACTAGAACTCATATTTATTTTGTTATTTTTTATTTTTTATGTTTCTTTTTTTTGTTTACTTCTTTCCTATTATGGTTATCACCATTATTAGACCATCATTATAATAATAATTATCAATATCTTATACTCTAACCAAAAGTTATTTAATAGTAAAGAACATTCTTGTAAGCAATTATCAATCAATAATAGTAAGTTTAAAATACATAAATAGTATTTACATCTTTAAAATGCATAAATATATATTTCATGATTATAAAAATTTATCCCACGTTATTTTATTAAATATCCTGCTTCACAAAATTGTTCCTATTTATCTCACTAAAATATCCCACTAGCGAAAAATTATTTCACTTTACCAATTATCCCATTTTGCATGAAAATATCCCAATTGACTAACACCCCCTTAGGGATAACCCGATCATTACAAACAAAGTGATAAACACTACATCCCTACGGTGATTTCTGAATACTCCAAAGTGATAAACACTACATCCCTACGGTGATTTCTGAATACTCTTTTGCTGAGATGAGATTCGATCACTTCGTT